GAGCCATTTTGGAACGGGTGAACAGTGCGGAAGCGCAGATAGATCATTACGGTCTGAGGAGAATGGCTCTGCAAGGAGTTACAATGGGATCTGCCGACGCTCAACGCTCAGGGGAAGGATAAGACGGATATACAATCAAACTGTTACTGGTACCATCGGAATTGAAACTCTTTACTTGCTGCTAAAGATGGGGACTGAGTACTTATGGAAGTGTCCCGAGTGCAGTGATGTTGATTCTTAATTCAACATTCTGTAAAACATATACAAGGCCTTAAGAATATGTTTGGCTTGTTTACTAAATAACGTACCATAATCAGGCTCCCCCCCCCCCCCCGCCCCGATCAGCGTTCTTAGATAGGGAAGGAGGTGGAGGGATAACACAGTTAGCATACTTACCTCCTTATCGGGCATCATCTACTTTTCAAAATAATCAAAAGTTGTATACCGCATGGGGACGGACTTAATTTTAAGTAATCAAAGGGCCGTAATCCTGCCCTGTCCGAAGTATCTATCGATTCGTTTACAAACATTTGAGGCTAAATGTTGAAACTTACTTTCTACTAAAGAAATAACTGTTAGATATAGGTTTAGACGACGTATCAACATCATGGCACAAGGGTTGTAACCCATGGGTGATTCGTTCATCTTCTGCGAAAAATCTCAGTGGAGTGCACGAACTCCGTAGCACCAGCGAGGATCCTGAAATACTTTTGGTAGATTTTTAACTCCAAATTGCGCAGTGGCGGTACCATAGCCTTTCTTACGTGGACTTCTAGTAATGTCCCCTGGCCTCTGGGTAGTAAGATCGAACGCTCGTGTGTATTGTTACGGACGTAAAAAAATTAATTGGCAGTTGGAAATCGAAAAGACTGGCCTAACGCGCTGCCCGGGCAAAATTTGGAGTTAAAAATTTATTTAAAAGTATTTCAGGATCCTCGCCGGTGCTACGGAGTTTTTGGAATTCTGGAATTCTTCGGATAGAATTGAGCCCCTATGGGTGACTTACCATGTGCCACGGTGTTGATCCGTTGAATAAACCATGTTTTTAAATATCCAGAAACCATGAGTTTATAACCCTTTGGCTCGCTTCTATGGAAATCGCAACCCTTCGGCCTTGATTCCATGATAGATACCGTAAATCTGGGAGAAATGTGGCTGTTATGCCTACCTCCGTGCGTGAATCTTGACCACAGGGGGTTCGTCATCTGGTCGCCGCGCAGTCAGGTTTAACCAACTGAGCTAGCAAGCTGGGTTTGAAAACCATAATAGCTCGGTTGGATGGCACTTCATAATGATGATGCACCCCTGACCCCTGTTCTTGATATTTCCGGTTCCGGTTTACAATTCAACGGCGCTTACTTTCAGTTAGTTAAATAGTTTTAATAAAACTTTTATTTTGTCCAAACTTTGTATCTTGTGTTTCTCGCTTTAATGTGTTCACTTATTAGATGGGTTTGCATATTTGTGCAAAATTAATTCTAAAATGGATAACATGCAGTTAGTAATGCTTCCTTTTAATTTTAAACTTTGAGGCGTTAAAGTAAAGATAGATTCCGGTCTTTTGGATCAGTCAGCGAAAAACCAGTGGATCTTCACGTCATCTTCCTTCATTCTCTTCACGGGTTGAATATTGTCAAAAGAGACTAATAATAATTAAAATATATATAATAATTAAAATAGTGTATCGCTTTTTTTTAAACCGCTTTTTGGAATTTTGTTTCGCTTTAATTATCTTTTGAGTGACCTGACAAGTGAATTATTAATGAAATATAAACAACTTACTTCATAATTTATTTAATTTAATTATATCATCATGCCTGAATCTGAATATATCAGTTTAATGTATTGATATTAATTATAATAATAATTATAATTCTGTTTTATTCTTTTGTAAGAAATTGAAAGGAAAAAGTTCGGCTCTCCTCCGAACTTCTACCCCGGCATGGCAGCCAAACAAATATCCTAAGTCAGGGCCTCAGTCCTATTGAAAATATGCAGACTTCCGGCGACGAACAAATCGTGGCAAAACTAGGATTACCTGACAATTTCAAGAGACGCAGACGATAATAGCGACCGTGCACATCCATTTATTCATCTCCATATTATGGCGGCCAAACAAATACACTAACAGGTCACTGAACTGTATTGTATAGTAAAGTGGAAGACGTTGAATTTGAAAGCTTGATAAATTGAAACATAATTTATTCTGCCCTGTTTTGAATAAAGAGGTTTTGAACTGTGACAGCGATCACCAAACCTCACAGGGGCTGGCCACAAAGAATGAGCCACACTTAAGTTGTCAAAGTTGCAGGTCACTGGACAAAACCACCAAGTCAAGCCACAAGTAGTTAATTACATTACTTAAGTCACACGCAAGTCCAAGTTGCCCTACTCGAGTTCTAACCTTGAATATAATGTAATACAGTAGTAGTAGTCACTTACTATATGCCGTCTTTTTTAATCACTATTATTATGTGTATAATTTTGAGAGAAAAAAATGTAAATTGTGCTCATAGAGCTGGCAGAATTATTCAGCTCCGTTATATGTGGCGTGGGGAATACTCTCGCCGGTAGATGCCAGAAAACCACAAATTAGGTCGCCAGAAGTGCGCAATTGACACGTGACTGATGCTCTGTTAGGGTTTTTTTGCGGCCGCCATAATATGTGCCCGTTATTCGTTATTCATATCACGCTGAACAACAGCCTTGAAAAAGTCAACAGTTTCACTTATCTAGGGAGCAAGATGTCATCTACAGGAGATACCGCACCAGAAATACCATTTAGAATAGCACTGGCATCTAGTGCCTTCAATAAACTGTCCAACATCTGGAAATCAAAGACACTTAGCAAACACACAAAACTCAAGATCTTCAATTCTTGTGTGATTCCAGTACTAACCTATGGATGCGAGAGCTGGAAATCAACAGAAACTCGAGACACAAAATTAGACAGTTTTGAAAAATTTCAAATGGTCAAATTTCCGAACCAATACACAAATAAGGCAAGAATCCAGGCAAGAGTATGTGTCTAATTTTATACGAAAACGCCTCTAGAACTATGTCGGCCACGCCGTTAGAATGGATAAATCAAGACTTCCTTACCAAGCCCTCATTTGGACACCACAGGGGAAAAGATCTTGTGGAAGACCAAGGGAAACCCTACGTAGAACTATCATCAGGGAAGGCTCGCTCATGGGCCACTCAAACATCCAAGACCTACAACAGATTGCAACGAACCGCCATGCATGGAGAGTCATGACCTCTGCCCTATGTGCCACACTCGACACAAGAGGAAAGACTAACTAACTAATTCGGAGCATTGCCTAAATTTTATTACAAATAATTATATGTTGTAATATAATATTTCTAACTACATTTGCCTTTTTAAACTTTACCGTTTTTCAGTGATATTTGCTGGTTTCCTATCAAATTTGTTTTTCCTATTTTATTTTTATTTTTCATCTTGACGTTCACTGTCTGTAAACTGCAGCAGAAAGCTATTTTCATCTGTCTACTTCCGGACCTTGGTCTTGCTCTAGAACTGTTGTTTTTTTAATGCACATCGGTTTTACAGACCGGCTTATTTGTAAGCAGACTGTTGGTTCCTTACCTCTACCACAGAGGCACTCCAGCTTCAAAGAAAACACCCCTAAATAGTCACCTTTTATGACATACTTGTAGAGGGGGAAGGCAGTGGGTCTATTTTTGTTTCACCCAAAATGAAATGGGGCCCAAGAACCCACACAGGATATTTCAGTTTAATTATAAAGTGAACTGTGTCAGTAGCAATATATTTATAATGTCTGTGTTTTCTTTTTTGCATTTTAGATGCCAGAAAATGATATGACGTGTTTCTGATATCGTCTCTAAAACTGATGTAATTTTATTCATGCCAGTTAAATTATGGAGCTGCAGGCAGTTTTCAAAGGTAATATATTTTGAAAATCTATTCTGCTTTTTCATGTCAAACACCTCCAGGGCTGTTTTTCTAGAGAAAGGTGCCGGTATTCACCAGGACATCTAATGAGGTGTTGGTATTCACAGACATCTTATTAGAGGTGTCAGTATTCACAAGGACATCTTATTAGAGGTGTCAGTATTCACAAGGACATCTTATTAGAGGTGTCGGTATTCACCAGGAGATCTAATAAGAGGTGTCGATATTCACGAGGACATCTTAATAGAATTGCAGGTATTCACCAGGACATCTTATTAGAAGTGTCAGTATTCACGAGGACATCTTATTAGAGGTGCCGGTATTTACCAGGACATCTTTTAGAGGTGTCGGTATTCACCAGGACATCTTATTAGAGGTGCCGGTATTTACCAGGACATCTTTTAGAGGTGTCGGTATTCACCAGGACATCTTATTAGAGGTGCCGGTATTTACCAGGACATCTTATTAGAGGTGCCGGTATTCACCAGGACATCTTATTAGAGGTGCCGGTATTTACCAGGACATCTTATTAGAGGTGCCGGTATTTACCAGGACATCTTATTAGAGGTGGCGGTATTCACCAGGACATCTTATTAGAGGTGCCGGTATTCACCAGGACATCTTATTAGAAGTGTTAGTATTCACCAGGACATCTTATTAGAGGTGCCGGTATTCACCAGGACATCTAATTAGAGGTGTCAGTATTCACGAGGACATCTAATTAGAGGTGTCAGTATTCATGAGGACATCTTATTAGAGGTGTCAGTATTCACCAGGACATCTTATTAGAGGTGCCGGTTTTTAGAAGGACATCTTATTAGAGGTGCCGGTATGCAGTGCAAAGATACATTTAAAGTTATATAAGTATTGATCGACATTGAGAGATGCAGAGGAAAGAAGTTGAGATAGAATTGCAGTGACCTCAAGGATTCTCCAATTTATATTTGTGTGTGTTTAAAAAAAATTATATATATATATATATATATATACAGCATAGTTTGTTCCCTTCTATACTGCTTGTTTCAATGTTTTTTAATGTGCGTCTATACTTTCAAATACAGAGGTTGTGGCTTATGTTGAAGTCCGCACTGGCAATGACAATAGAAGTGCAGCCATTGCTCAAGAGCTCAGATATCTTGGGGCTCAGGTGGAGCCGACCTTTACAGATGCTGTGACCCATGTGGTGTTCAAGGAGGGACTAAAGAGGACATGGAATAAAGCCATGAAGAAGAAAGTTCATCTCGTCTCTGTTTCCTGGATTGACAGGTAAGTGAGGTTAACACTAAGGTTGTGAGTATTCTATTTCCCTGTGTGGGTTCCGGGCAAAGATTTTATTTGGGGGTGGAAAGGGGGGGGGGCAATATACTCACTGCCATGTCATAAAAAGCGGCTAAGGATTTACTGAAATTGGAAGTATTGAAAAGCACAGATATTGCAGCCTAGCTGTGAACTGCAACATAATGTACCAACCATCTTTTTTTTTTTAAAGGGCAAACACAGAAAAATATTCCATTCGTAGTATTTTGCACAGAGGCAATAATTGGTCTACCACCAATACTTAAATAAGAAAAGGAAAAATGTTTACCATCTGTAATCGAACGAACAGAAAGATGCAGTGAAAATTTGCTTTTCTTTATGTTTCTGTCTTTCTTCCTACACCTTACTCACACAGTCAAAAAGAGGCTCTCCTTTAAATAACGGTCGCTAGCTGGAAGGCTTAGGTCGCTTAGTCGGAGTTCACTCCCTTGGCTGCAGTGCAAATACGGAGTGGTAAAGAGGGAACAAAACAAATGATATAGTTACCTGTCATCCTAGGGTTAGGGTGATACATCACGGAAACAACGGAAGCTTATCGCTCATTACGACATACAGATCTGCAGGTCTCACATCTACGGTCACTAAGTCGTGCGTCGGAAGAACGCGGCTGCTAATTTGAGTCGCAGCGCATGGTCTACGAGAGTCTTGCGCCGCAAGACCGCGGTCGCTAAGGTCAGTCGCAGCGCGTGGTCTAGCTCTAGCAGGCATGTCGACCTCGCTGTGTTTTTTTATTCGTGACTTGTCCGCTCTGTATTTGCACTGCAGCCAAGGAAGTGGACTTCCGACTAAGCAGCCGTCGCCTTCCAGCTAGCGACCGTTATTTAAAGGAGAGCCCAAAAAGATCATGTAAATAAGAGACGTTGAAATTTAAATTGTGTATTAGTATTTTAATCAGCAACATTTACAGTACACACAGAAAAATTAATATGACGTTGAATTTAAAAAAAAAATCACACTACTTAAAGTTATATTTATATGCAGGATGAGATGCGAACCTCGGCAGGTAAAATGCCCCCAATTTCTTTTTTTTTTTTTTAATACTACAGCTGCAAGCAGAATCAGATGCAGATGCCTGAAAAAGAGTTTGCAGCAGTGATGCCAGAGGAAATCTCCAGCCCATTTCCCAGGATCAACCAGCCTGTACGATGGAAGGTATGCACAAGATGTTCGTGCTGCCATTTTATGTTGATGTCCGCTAACTAGCTCCTTACAGTTTGATGCTGAGCATGTACTCCAACACTAAACTAAATGCTGCTAACAGGAAAGCAATCTGACCTGTTCTGGCCTCAATGAAGACAAAGCTGTGTGGTACATTGTACATTGGCAACTTTCCGTCTTTCCAGACGATAGTGTTATATTGCGCTATGAAGAGGCATGAGACTCACAGCCCATGGCGATGGCGGGTGTGACTAGCAAGACCTGCCCATGTCAAGAAAAGTCTTCCACAATGATGGCATGGGATTTCAGGACCATTGTTAACAACATTTGTGTTTAATCCGTTTCTTTTCAGACGCTCAGCTCTCATCCTTTCTGCAATCATTTCTTCTTTAAGTCTCATTCCCTTCTTGATATGCCCTTTCCACACAACATGGTCCATGGCACTTTGTTCCCAGGTGTCCGCCTCAATAACTGTATCATAGATGGGGAGATTTCAACTGAAGAATAGCTTTGATCAAGGTTACCAGCCTTTTGATATACATTTTCAGACAGAAGGATCAAAGTAAAAGAATCTTATGAGTTAACACAAAAATGTAATATCTACTTCATATTTCACGATGATTGGGTTATTACATGCATACACACGAGACAGCGATTTACTTAATCATCAGCATGAAGCAGTGTTACCTGATGGTCAGCACGGACGATGTCATTCACTCAAAAAATTTTGTTTGGATTAACTGCGGCAAACAGACGGCCAGCCCACTTTGCATCAGATAATAAGAACTGACCTATTTAAGCTTCATAATAATGATGTACCCAGAGTCGGACAGTGCTAACATCCATTTTTTGATCTCCATAAACATTTGTGGATGCAAATTGGGGTCTCACCTTCATAACTGAGGAATTTTATGTCATGACCTTGTTTCAACCAAACGTCATTGGAAGCCATTTTTAGACCACTACAGTGGTGCCAGCTGTTGCTGAAACAGATTGATATGGAGTCAAGTGTTTGAGGAATCCTGCTAAACTGACATCTTGCGCACCGATTCAGTATTTTCACAGATAAAAATAGGAGGCATTACTTTTTAACTTTCCCTTGTATTTTTAGTTAATATGTGAGTGCCTGTTGACTTATATTGGTTAAACACAGAGGCAACTTGAAAACAGAGTGGCAGAACATATGCCTATATGCCTCCACGCACAGCTGAGTTATTTCCTAGAAGTGTCACAAACTAACCAAGTGGAAAGAACCCACCTCTTCTTTAGGACGTCATTTGCTTGTCTTCGTATATGAAATTGTCCAGAACAGTGCTTTCTGTATAATTTTTCACACACTGACAGGCTCATTCTGAGGTTAGCTGAAGCTTTAACAATAAACATGAACAACCCCCTTGTTTGAAAACGGAATGAATTCTTTATAAATTTGAAATTATCCCAAGTAATGTGGCTGTTCATTAGTTAGTTAGTTAGTAAGTGGGATCTGATCATTGCACTCCGGACATGTCCATAGGTGCTCACATCCTTCGCTCAGTATGAACCCCAGCATCCTGTGTCTAAAAGTGCCAGTTCTTTGATGACTGATTAATCTTTTTGTATGCCCGATGTGTCTCTCACTTTTGGCAATGCCGATCCAAACTCCTGAGTCTTTCATTCTGGTGAGCAATGTGGAGTCGCTGTTAGACAAACAGCGATTCAGAGAAGCCATTTTGTAGAATGAATTCAGTTTTTGTGCTTCTTTAAATAATGATTTAACTGTCATAACACAGTGACGAGATACAATGATATATGCTTGGCAATGTATTGTTTGTGGCCACAATATTTAAAGTAGCTTTTGTCAAAAAAAAATTGCCTCAAAGTCTTTTTCTCAATTTTGTACTCAAACAGAAAATGAAGTCTATGCAACCGTGTGATTTTGATGAAGAATTGGCCAGGAGTGCTGAGAGAGGCGAGAAGAAGCGGAGAAGATTGATGGGAAACAAATTTGTGCTGAATGAAGAAGTGACGCCGACAACATCCTCTCCTATCCCAGTGTTGGCTTTCGAAACTCAGGCCAGATCTCCCGTGAGTACATATTTAAATATAATAACCGGTAACTTGCCTTGTTAGCTTATGAGTCAGGGCCTCACACTGAAGCTATAAAAGGATGCCTTTGACATCGTGCATGTCCTTCTGATCCTCTAGGACTGCAGGTGACACCTGGCTGGTGTAACTGTTCAGGACCCTTTTCCACACCTTCACATGTATTTGGGCATGTAGGGGTAGACCTGTATCTTACAGACCAATTGATGGTTGTTGGGTGATGTGGTCAGCATCACACCGGCCCGCCTTTACTTCCCAGGACTTTAAGGCTGGTTTGACTTAGGGGCCAAGGTCATTTGCAAAAAAAAGTTTGGCTCCGCCAGGAAGGTGGGTTCTTTTTGGTAGTTGTAGTATCATCATCATCATCATCTTGTGCTATGCCAACTGGCGTAGGCGCTTTTGCGTCTCCAGAGATCACGATTCCTGGTTGCCTGGAACAGCTCTCTTGATTATATCCCTCAATGCCATCGTTTCAGCCCATCCAGCATCATCTCTCTTGGTCTGCCTCTACCTCTTTTTCCACTGATCTTTCCAGTTGTCACGATGTTCTCCAATGTCTCTCTTGTCATTATGTGGCCAAAGAACAGTGTTTGTCTCTTTCTTATTGTTGTATATAGAGATCTACTTTCAAAAGCTTATTTCAAGCATTTGTTGTTAGTTACTCTGGCCGTCCAAGGTAGTTGTAACAATCGTCTCAGAAACCACATCTCTGTTGCTTCCAGATTCTTTCTTATTTGTTCCTATAATTGTATTATATAAAAAGTTAATCGCATTAAATTACAGTAATCACTCTAGCCTGTTGTCTGTATTTTACAGTACATTACTGGGTACTCACTGTATGCTGAGTTGACTTGGGAGCCGAAGTCAGTTTTGAAGAAACAAAGTATGCCTTGATGCGGATTTGAACTAAAGAGCTTTGACTTCAGCACCTAATTTTCATTAGTAATCTTAATTGATTCCACAGACAGCATATTTCAGCGGCGCTTGTATGGTAAGTCATTATTATGTCATCAAGTGTCATCATCATCACCCCCTTTCCCATTATGTGTTACCATCTCACTTGATCATAAAATTGTGGATCAAGTCAGTGCTGTTGTCTCGGCCTATTTATATGGCCAACAAGCCATCCAGGTAATTAATCACTTTGCCATCTTGCCCTTTTTTTTCCATTAATCTTGCCTGTGGTCACCGAGTTCTGGAGTACATTCCTTCTCATAACACGTCAAAAAGACACTGTCTTCATCTAATGCACGGCCTTCTCTATTTATAGGCCTAACAGGTCAACGGGTATTCCCGTTCTTGTGCAAGAATTGAGTCCCTCTGCGTCCATAGTTTTTATCGAGGAGATGAATACACAAATTAAACTACAGTTTCATTAATTTTCAACATATTTTATAGAACTATACGTCATTTTTAAGGTAAATAAGTGTGCCAATTAAATATAACAATAAAGGCTCTTACTGACAAACAAAAATGCTTTTGCTACAGTCAACATGAACATAAACATCAATAACGTTTAGATATAAACTAAAAGTTGTTCCAGCAAAAGTAAAGAAATATCAGTGCTAACTCTTTGATCCTGAGAGTACATTGTTGCATCAGAGGGGGGAGGGGGGGGGGGGGGTGTGTGTGACATTTGTACTTTATCAAATTTAGCGCATAAAAATACTGCTATGAAACATACACATGTCATACATAATATAAATGATTGATGGTTATTATTATTATTAGTAGACTACTACAATATATAATTATACTCTTATTTAATAATTAGTAAACAAGCACAATCAGTATGAAATTGATATGTGCAATACTTTTTTCACCCAGAGTAGTTTTCTTAACAGTACTTAAAGTACTACTAAATATGTATCCTCAAGGTACAAACAGCACAAACAAATTTGTCCAGTTTTGTTTTGTTGGATGAAATCAGTTCCTTAACATTGCAAATTTTTGGTAACTGTTTAAAAATACATCACACATATTTCTAATTACAGCATGCAACAACGCATATAAGTATCATGAATGGTATATTATTTTACAAGACCAAAGCCCAGAATAAGATGAACAGCCAGAAGTTTCTGCCAGAGTTTACAGCCAGTGTTTGCGAAGCAAAAGCCAATTTACAAAAATTAACACAGGCCCTACAACTGCAAATATGCATAAGAAGTGGATGAACAACCAGAAGTTTCCGCAACAGTTTACAGCCAGTGTTCGCGAAGCAAAGCAAAAGCCAGTTTACACAAATTAACACAGACTGTACAACTGCAAATATGCATAAGAAGTGGAGGAACAACCAGAAGTTGCTGCAAGAGTTTACAGCCAGTGTTTGCGAAGCAAAGTAAAAGCCAGTTTACAAAACTTAACACAGACTGTAGAACTGCAAATATGCATAAGAAGTGGATGAACAACCAGAAGTTTCCACAAGAGTTTACAGCAAGTGTTCGCGAAGCAAAGCAAAAGCCAGTTTACACAAATTAACACAGACCGTACAACTGCAAATATGCATAAGAAGTGGATGAACAACCAAAAGTTTCTGCAAGAGTTTACAGCCAGTGTTCGCGAAGCAAAACAAAAGCCAGTTTACACAAATTAACACAGACCATACAACTGCAAATATGCATAAGAAGCGGATGAACAACCAGAAGTTTCCGCAAGAGTTTACAGCCAGTGTTCGCGAAGCATAAGTCAAATGGTTAAGGATTAATATTATTAGTGTACTTCTACAACATATATACTGTTAGTCAACAATTAGTAAAGAGGCAAAGAGTGACTTGCTGTGAGAGGTTAGTTAGTAAATTAAATATTATTTTCATCCACTTCCCTAGAGCTCCGAAATATCTTGACACAATTTATCCACAGTGTGGTTGCACCATTTATGCACAGTCAATATGAAAGCAATAGTTTTCTTTCAACACAAGATAGTTTGCACCTGACAACTGTCGATAGTCTCCAGATATGGCTTCTAAATTACCTGTTTGTATTTTCCCTAAAAGTAAGATTTCTACATTTAAAGTAGAAAAGTAATAAACAACCAGTTCCCCAAAATCGGAACTACTGACTAGAAACAGTGACACACACATCACAACACGACTGTCTCCCGTGAATTAAAATTGCTGTAATCTAACAACAAAGTATGAAAATCTTGTATATCCACTTTACAATATCCGCTTGTCGATTTGTAATACGAATACAATCATAACACAGAAGTTTGTAAGCATATTATATTGTCACACAATGCAACATGGAAACGCTTCAAGTAACCTATTTTCGAGGGGACTCAGCCAAAATGTATCGTGATTCAGTTAGGCATTATTAGAGAAGGCAGTGATCTAATGTATCTGTATAGAAACTAAAAATAGTCGCATGGGACATTTGTTGTCTTTTCTTCACACCGGATATCTCTTGAGTTTCCATGCATAGGCATAATTAGTGTACTACATCAGTAGGTAATGTAAAGCAAAGGACCCTTTTCCCACGCCTTTTAGGCATATAGGGCTAGATCTATATTTTATAGACCAATCGGCACAAGATGGCTGATGTGGTCAGCATCACACCGGCCGCCTTTACTTTCCAGGACTGCACCTGGTACCCACTTAAGGCTGGGTCGACCTGGGAGCCAAGGTCATTTAAAAAAAGAAAGTTTGGCTCTGCCGGGGAGCGAACCCACAACCTTCCGACCTGTCACGAGTGTCAAGCTGCTTTGCCACGGAGACTCCCATGCTGCATTAGTGGTTGTTTGTAATGGGAGATCACTCCACCAGACCATGCTGACCTTTTCAAGCATCTGGAAACTACTGGTCTAACCATGAAGGTGCATTTATTAAAACTTACGAGACACCAGAAACACCTGTCGGTGTCAGTGACGTAAAGTTTGTGAACAGTTTCACCCCAACAACCACGGCCGACTGTAATGTTGTGTCTAGTGAACACCGAACATTTAAAAGAGAGAGATGATTGGTTGGTTCCTTTATGCGTGCGTAATATTAAAGCAGTTAAACTGCTGGTGAAACTGAATTATGAATATTTACCATTTTTACTTCAAACTGGGTATTTTTCAAATCAACCTGGATGGTTTCAAACCATACAGAACATTTTTTTAAACCAAACTGGACGATTGTTAAACCACTTAGGACATTTTTCGGATCCAACTTGACAATTTTTAAACCACTAAGGGCATTTTTCAGATCCAACTTGACAATTTTTAAACCACTTAGGGCATTTTTCAGATCCAACTTGACAATTTTCAAACTACTTAGGACATTTTTCAAACCAAACTAGACGATTTTCAAATAAAAAAGGACAGTTAAAAGCAAAGTGGACACAGTTTAATATACATATAAAAGTTCAAACAGTTCTTCACTGAGACTGCAATATATCAGACATGCATATTATTATTTTCAGACCTGTTTACTATGGATATCATCAGCACTGGAAGCAGCAACGAAGATGAAGCAGCTTCAAAGACAATCACTGACATCATCCATGGTCTAGATTCCAACAGTGAATACGGCAGCCAGACTTCTGCAGATAAAGAGGGCACAACTGTTCTTGCTTCTGGCAAATCCGAGAATGATTCTCATATGTTGAAGAATTCAGTTCCAGAAACACAAAGGACTGCCTCTTTACCATCATGTCTATCAAGTAATGGTAACTTTCAGACTTCTCAGTGCAGCAATGAAGTCAATGGTTTGTTAGACAAAAGAGCAGCGAGGTTGTCAAGAAGGAGCTGTGTATATAAGACTTCTAACTCCAGCATGAGCTTAGATCAAAATGCTTCAGACGGCAGTAAAAGTAGATCTGCAAACAAATCTGAAAATAAGAGTAGACGGTCAGAGCCTCCCAGGGGGCCTTATTCTAGGGACAGGCAGACAAGTCTGAATGCACTTTCACCAAAAGATTTAAATATAGATACTCCTCCATTGACGGTGAAATCTTTAGGTTTGGAAGCACTTTATCATCAGGAAAAGACCGGCACTGTGAAGATTTCAGGGAATGCCGATGGCTCTGTCAGATCTGGTAGACGCTTGTTAGAAGCCGTGTCAGAGGTTGGTAACAATAATTGTGAAAAAGTAGCAACAGCTGCAAGTGATGATAATATGGAAAGTAACGTAGCATCCATCAGAGCTCAGGTGGGACAACAGAGAACCAAAAGATTGTCAAAACGGCAGTCATTAATCTCTGAAATGTCAGAGTCACCATCATTAATTTCTATAGAATTAAAACAGCCATCATTAATCACCCAAGAAAATGCTAAAGTTGGTTTATCCTTGGGCTTTGAATCAGAGAAATTGTGTAAGTCTACAAAAGAAAGTCTGCTTGAGTCTAACAAACAAAATAAAAAAGCTACTTATTCTAATTCAGGTATGCTTCGTGGATCTGCAGACAGTGCTGCTTCAGAATCTTCTACTGCATTAAAGGTAGCTCGAAAGAAAAGAAACCTTCTTGCAGGTGCAGCTTTTCCAGTGAGTTCCCTAGAAGCACCTGCCAAACAGAAATCACCTGTAACTAAATCATCTCACAAGTCTAAATTGCACATTGTGGGATCGGATATCAAATCTGATATTTCTTTTATGTTTGGTTTTAAGTCACATGGCACAAAAACTGAGAATAAAAAGATCAAACGAAGAAGCACACGTCTGAACAGGGAGCTTCCAGAATCTTCTGTTGATGGTCTTTCAGGGTCGGAACAAAGTGTCATAAATTCCTCGTCTAAAAATGTGTCGGCAGTTAATGACAGTTTATGTAAAACTGCGACGGAAAATACTTCTGTGAGTAGTCATGGGAAACAAAATCAATCATCTTTTGGGGATTCGATGCTGAAAGGTGAAATGTCAATGTCCATGGCATATGGACATGATGACTCCTCTGCAAACATAACAAGAGTAGGCACTTCTCGGCGAAGCTTGGAAGAATTCCGCACAAACATCAAAACAACCGGTAGGAATAGAAAACCCGGCAGTCTGTCTACACTGAGATCCACAGCTGCAAAAACCAGTAATGACTCCACTAAAACAGATGAACTGAAAAATAAACTCACAAAAACAAATGTGAATACTCAACAAACTAAAAGGATAAAACGTAGTTTATCTCCCAGTGGTAGTACAACAAGCGGAGCGTCTGAGAAACATAAAAGATGTGACCAGTTGCCTGGTGCCGATGTAGACAGTACTTTGAGTGAGTCCTCTCTGGCAGAGGATGACCAGGTGCCAGCTCGATTGCGGCATGCTCATTCTTTGCTGATGGAGCAGAAGCGGCAGCCGCCTTCAAAAAGATCAGCCTGCACACTTGTTGTGACAAGTCTTCACCGGGAGTAAGTATGTCTGTTACATGTTTCTGTAGTGTGCATTTATCTTCAGGGTGGTGGTGGTCCATTGTCCAGCAGGTTCGCCTGGTGGTCATAGATTAGAATTGGCCTGGATCACTGGTTTTCAACCTTCCTAATGCTGCCACTCTTTAATACAGTTCCTCATGATGTTATGGCGACCCTTTAATACAGTTCCTCTTGTAGTGGCGACCCTTTAATACAGTCCCTCTTGTAGTGGAGACCCCGAACCATACGGTTATTTTTCATCGCTACATCATAAATTAATTTTTTTTGCGATGGATTTTGAGTTGAGTGCCGCTGACCTAGATTTATGCAATTTATTTTTTTGGCAGCTGACTTAGTTCATGAAGAAATCATGTAGGTTCTGGGGTTTCAGTTTGGTGGGGTGGGGGGGGGGGTGAAAAGAATAGACCCCTGCTCCCCTAACAGGCACGTTGTAAAAGACAACTAATTAGTTTCCATCGGAGTGGATCTACCTGAGGGGCGAGGACCCAACAGTCTGCATACCAGTGAGTCAGATCTGTAAAAATGGATGTGCGTGCACAATTCTACATGTCTAAAGTCCAGAAGTGGACAGAAAACGAGAACTTTCCATCAGAGTTTACAGTTGGTGAACGTGAAGAAGAAAAAGACAAGCTGAGGAGAATAGCACTGTAATGACCACACAACCACAGAGTGCCAACTGGTGCTGGAATCATATATCCAAAATAACCCACTGCATGTAGAAGTGTGTATTTGTCTCATCATCAATGTCTGGCATTTTCATTTCTAGTTGTTGGGAATTTGCATGCAAAACATAATCTAGTGCCATCCCTACTTTAAAAGTTGGTTGTGGTGAGTCTGCAGCATTTTGTGTGTAGCATCTTCATGGTACAGTCATACAGACTTCTTCCAGCTCGTTTTACAGTGTTGAATTCCACTTAACTGGTTTAATATTTTTCTGTTACCAGTTTCTCATGTGTTCACACTGGACTCCTTGGCTTTGTAAAGCTGTTAATTAATCATAAAAAAAACCATCGCTGTCATTTCCACATTTCTGAAAAATTGCTTTGTTGCATTCCCACTATCCATGAGGCCTAGTTCATGGCATTTGTTCTGTTTGCACCTGTGCAATATTTAGAGGGTTCTGATATGAAAATACTACTAAAATATCATGGGTGTGGAACTTAATTTGTCAACCGTTATGACATCACAGAGTTTGCTTGACCTTAGCGGTAACATACAGACGAGGTCACAGTTTGAGTCACCCATTTTTATACCCAAGGGAATGTAATTCATTTAATAATTCAATCTGTTTATGTTTATTGATTATTGCCCTTTGTAAATTTTAGAAATAAAAATTTTTAAAATGTAAGTAAATACATTTTAATGATCCATGTAAAAAAAAAGTTGTTAAAATTTTTGTTTTGTTTTGAGAATTTGCAGATACATAGTTTTTCTTTCTTAAGTTTATATGTATGCAAAAAGGGTTAGAAGGGCAGTTGGCATTTTGCAGTTTACATCTCAGCTACAATATCTGCACTTTTCAGTGCAGAACATCTGATTTTTAACAAACTCTTAAAGGATGACAAAATCCACACTGCAAAATTAGCACGTTCATACTCTTGCTACCAGATTTTAATAAGTACTTGAAATAGCTATATTTGTTTGTACTTCATTGTTCCTATTTTCTGCCTGAACCTCCTTTCACAACTTTGTCTGTTACTTCTGCGGCGTCCGTGGCTAAGGCGTTGCGAGTCCGACTCGTAAGCCAGCATACCGCGATCGAAACCCACTGCAGGCTGCATGGATTTTTGTCGTGGTATGGGATGTCGCAGGTCGACCCAGCCTAAAATGGGTACCAGGATGGGCTGTCCTGGGAAAGTAAAGACAGCCGGCGTAATGCTGACCACATTACCCACAGAGTGCTGATGGTCTGTAAAAATATGGGACGCTCTGCCCATATTCCCGATGCGCCGAAAGGCGTGAAAAGGGAACTTTACTTTTTTACTGTTACTTCTGCAGTGAGCAAGAAACAGTGTATGCGATTGTGAAGAGTCTTGGAGTGTTTCATTTGACCAACAACGTGGAACCAACAACCACCCATGTTGTCTGTGGCGAGTCACGGAGGACTCTCAATCTGCTCAAGGGAATAGCAAGTGGGTGCTGGTTGCTGAGAAAGGAATGGGTCAGTTTTCTTGTGCAGATGTTTTATTATTGTTCCTTACCGTTTTGTCAGTGCCCAGCATTGGTGATATTTGTCTCCATGTGAGTTTTAGGGCCCTGATATAGTGGCCTACCCCCACCCCCCCCCCCCACACACACACACACACAAAAGACCACCCAACCGTCCCTCCTCCAACAAGCATGTTGTAAATGTTGACTAATTAGGTGTTTCCTTTGAAGTCAGGTGAGTGACCAACACTCTGCATACAAATAAACCTGATCTGTAAAACAGATGTGCATGCCAAAACTCAGTTTCTGGAACAAGACTTAATACCAGACTATCATCATTATCAAGTAGCAGGTTCTTCACAAAATGTTGCTGTCATCACAGTCTGCCTGAAAGAAACTTCCTCATCTTTCACTTTTCTTCCCAAGGTTGTTCTGTTCCCAAGGTTGTGTGTGTGTTTTTGTTTTTTGTTGCGCTGTGATAAGTTCTTTGAATTAAAATGTGGTAGTTTTTCCCTTGCTTTCCACATCCACATGGCTTTAGACTGTCCTCAGCCTTTGGCAACTTTTTAGAATGTTAGACAGAGGAAACTCCAGAGTTGTCCGCTTATCCCGGTGGATACTCGATCCCCGCAGCTGTTTTGGCCACACCAGAATATGTTTACCAATTCTCTACCGCATGGAGGTGCAGTTGATGGTTTTTCCTTCGTGGAATCCTGAGACCAGAATGGCATTTCTCAAAATTGTCCAGTACTTTCAGAGTACATATACCAGATCTTTTTCGCATTCACTGGCTACAAACTGGTTGTTCGTCTACCTCTAGATGTTAGTCTTGTTCCAGAACCTGAATGTTGCGTGCACATCCGTTCTACAGATCTGACTTTTTGTATGCAGATTATCAGTTTATTACCTCTTAGGTAAATGCACTTCTGACTTCAAAGGAAGTCCCTAATTAGTTGATTCATCTGACATGCTTGCTGGCGAGGCAGTGGGTCTATTCTTGTTTTAAGGGGAAATCCACATTGTGGCAGATGTTGTATAATTTGCCTAGGCTCCGAAGTTGACTCACCCTCAGATGCGTACCAGGGCTCACCGTCCACTGCAGGTTGAAAGGCAGAAGAAATAATAAGTGAACAGCCAAGACGAGTGTTAATACCTAGTCCTCTGCTACTGCTGCACTTCATTTCCCAGGTCCCCTTTGTCCATTTTCTCAATTTCCTTCCTGATTCCTCCCCCCCCCCCCTCTCCCCCACATCCGTGTCTGGGTGAGTGTGTAAGTAAATTATGAGTTTATTGAAGTTTTGTTTCCATATTTTGTTTCTAAACATGTACTGTTCTAAGCAATGCAGTTAATACGGTAAAAACAGGTAAAGAGAAACTAACAGAGTGATTTTTGGAGGGCTGGAACAAGTTAAATTTTTTTACATTAATTACACACACACACACACACACACACTGGTCTGGTGGATGTAGGCCAGTGGTCTCCAACTTGGAAAGGGGGGTGGGGGGTGGGTGGGGGTTTTCAAGGTCGGGGAATGGGGATGTCAAGCAGTTTTGAAATTGAGTGCAGTTGTGCTCATAATAATCCAGACTTGTAGCTTTAACAGTCAGGGGGGAAAGGTAGCGTTGCAAGCTTGAAGTGGGGAGTGATCTCTTATGTGCCTTGTCCAACAGCAAACCACAAGTAGCAGATAAAATCAAAAGAAAACAGCATCAACCATCACATTTATATTTGGACACTATTTGGTGATTGTTTTGTTATTCGGCACTTTAATTTATGTGGATTTTTTGTCAAAGTTCTTCTTAACGGTACTTGGAGTTTTTTAATTGCCTTTTTTTGGTTAAAAAAAATAATGTTTTGTGTTAAAAGGGGAGTGGGTGGTCTTGCCATATGCTCGAGGCAGGCACCACCTGATAAAAGGGTTGGAGACCATTGGTGCTGGCAGAGGGATTAGTTTCATAATCACTAATGCAGCTTGACTGTCATGTACATATGGCTGCAGAGTCTGTTGTGTTAGTTCATAGTGCAAATAAAACAGTCTGTTGTGTCCAGTTTGCAGGGTAAATACTTGTCTGTTGTGTCCAGTTCGCAGTGTAAATACAAGTCTGTTATGTCCAGTTCGCAGTGTAAATACAACAGTCTATTGTGACCAGTTTGCAGGGTAAATACTACAGTAAGTTGTGAGAAGGTTGACTGGGTAGATTCTTCTCTTCATCTTCTGCCCTTTATTCTTTTATGGAGCATAGGCCCTCACGCCATGTCTTCATCTTTTTTAACTTCTTCTTCTTTGATCCTTTTGTCAGAAAACATATCAGGAGGCCGGTAGCCTTTATGAAAGCTATCACGCAGACCATATCTTCTCGTGTACCACAAAGTTTTGTCTTCATTATGCTTGGAACAGGCCAGATTGCGACTCTGGTGTCAGCTTACAGTTGACAGTGTTGGAGCAAATGCTCACCATTTTTTTTATACCACGCTGCAGGGACATATCTCCGTGTTTCCTACACCCAAAAGGTTGAATATATGTTGACAAAAGTCAGTTGCACCCTGTCTTTAGTGTGAATATAATACACTGTCCCTCTCTAAAGAGGCGATGAAGCGAGTCTTAAGGAGAGAATCTGGTGTGTGTATCCAGCCACCTATCTTGGATACTAGATTGTATTAATGTTTTATTTAGTCTCTTTGTGGGTTTAAGTCATTATTTGGTTGTACCATGACACTGCCGCTTCTGTCAGCTATTATTTGTATCTTCATTTTCTAGCTTTCCTCTCCCTGTGTTTTTTTCTTACCTTTATTTCTATGCCCCTTGTGGGTTTCTCTTAAAGCCCAACTAGTTATAATGTTTTCAGGTTTCATCAGTGTTTCCTATCGAGGGCCACCATCTTTTCCTCACTTTTTGAATCACTGGAATTTGTTTAGTTCTCTCCCAAAGCGATTGGGTGGTTACTACAATAATAATTCAGTGTTGTGTATTGTTTATTGAAGTTGGCTTTACGTCACTCCACAGGTGTTGGAGTCACTCGAGGCTGGCACCTGGCTGCAGGAAGAGTCTTATGAAATGAGGGATATCCTGGCAGCTGTGGTGAGTATTTATTGGTGCTCGGGGGTCTAGACATTGTTTGTTCTTCATAGAAGGAAGCTCTAGACCTTGTTTGTTCTTCATAGAAGGAAGCTCTAGACATTGTTTGTTCTTCATAGAAGGAAGCTCTAGACCTTGTTTGTTCTTCATAGAAGGAAGCTCTAGACATTGTTTGTTCTTTATAGAAGGAAGCTCTAGACCTTGTTTGTTCTTCATAGAAGGAAGCTCTAGACCTTGTTTGTTCTTCATAGAAGGAAGCTCTAGACATTGTTTGTTCTTTATAGAAGGAAGCTCTAGACATTGTTTGTTCTTCATAGAAGGAAGCTCTAGACATTGTTTGTTCTTCATAGAAGGAAGCTCTAGACATTATTTGTTCTTCATAGAAGGAAGCTCTAGACATTGTTTGTTCTTCAAAGAAGGAAGCTCTAGACATTGTTTGTTCTTCATAGAAGGAAGCTCTAGACATTGTTTGTTCTTCATAGAAGGAAGCTCTAGACATTGTTTGTTCTTCATAGAAGGAAGCTCTAGACCTTGTTTGTTCTTCATAGAAGGAAGCTCTAGACATTGTTTTTTCTTCATAGAAGGAAGCTCTAGACCTTGTTTGTTCTTCATAGAAGGAAGCTGTAGACATTGTTTGTTCTTCATAGAAGGAAGCTCTAGACATTGTTTGTTCTTTATAGAAGGAAGCTCTAGACATTGTTTGTTCTTCATAGAAGGAAACTGGTTTTTGCCATATTCTGCACTGTTAATCAGTGTTCACAGAGAAGAACTGTAGCAGACATTATATTTCACTCATGTACCTATAGAAGCAATCCTCATGATGGAAGATATAAACTTATTATTACAATTAGATGTAGTCATACATTTTGTGGGGGGGGGGGGGAGGGGGGGGGGCATGTTATAAGAAGGAATGGATTTGAGGACTTGGGGTAACAAATGGTAAGATTGATGGAAATAGGGCAAAGAGATAAATACCCTGATTCCTTGGCCACATGGATGGAGCGAGGCAAGAGCATTGACCTGATTTGTGATTCTGAGGTTAGTTTGACATGGCGAAACAGGACAGCCTATGCTTACGCACGACACATGATGATAGTGATGACCTATGGTGACCTACAGAAACTCTAAGCTGGTAAGCAAATGAGTCAGGTGGTGTGTGGTTCACAGAGTAGGGCATCCAACAGAAACTCGAAGCTGGTAAACAAATGAGTCAGGTGGTGTGTGGTTCACAGAGTAGGGCATCCAACAGAAACTCTAAGCTGGTAAACAAATGAGTCAGGTGGTGTGTGGTGCACAAAGTTGGACGTCCAACAAAAACTCTTAAGGTAGATGTTGATGAGAGAGGCCAAAGGTTCTGTGCTGGATTCTATCCATGATATGGAAGTGATTGCTCAAGATAGAATATAATAGAGAAATAGATGGTGAGCCCTGTGTGAAATATAATGGCATCAAAGGACAAAGTTAGCTGTGTATCCTTTACAGGATGTTGCAGAACCAACCCCAGCATTTTTTGGCTGTTGCTGTTTTTCTGGACAGGTGAACATTCTCTAGTTTGCAAGTGCTTGCTGAACAGTTAGCTCTTGATACCACTGTTGAAACCAACACAAAACAGTCTGCTGCCAGTTCGCCTGCAGCTTGGATTGAACCCGGAACCCCGGCATTATGAAACACGTTGGCAACGCCTAAGCCACAGAGGCATTTACTTTGAAGTCAGAGTGTATCTGCATGAAGGACATGTAACCGATAGTCTGCATGCAAATAAACCAGATCAGTAAAACAGATGTGAAAGCAGAATTGAAATTCTGAAACAAGACTGAAGTCCAGAAGTAGACCAACAACCATAATTTTTTCGCTGGAGTTTACAGCCGATGAATGCAAAGAAAAATAAGAGCTATAATATTGATAGGATGAAAAGTAAAAGGAACTCTCTTGTGTTGTGACGTGTCACACATGAAGATAACCCTACATTTTTGTACTGTTTGAGATTACCTTTATTTGTTATTTCTGAGCATTTATTTTTGCTGCAGAAATCCCGCAGTGAAAGACAGAAGGTTGGCCCCAGCTACAAGGCCAACCTCTTTTCCAAGTGCGGCCCAATATTTGTATCTTCTGCTTGCACCCCGCCAAGAAAAGAAGTGGTTCACTTGATTAACCTTTGCTGCGGGCAGGTAAGTCATTGTCAGGAGTTGTCAATGTATACTGTTTATCATGCACCTGTCCCGTCGTTAATCGACAACGGACAACAGTCCCATCGCTAATCAACATGCAAATTATGGCATCATAATGATTTTTAGAAAGTCATTTTTCACAATTCTCTCTCCTCTCACATGCTATTTTCAGTAAATATAATCATATTTAGTCACCGTAAACACTTATCAGATGCCACAAAAACCTCCGCCTTTAACTGAGGATTGTCTGGGAGTGGCCAGTGCAGCAAAACCAATATTTAGTCTTATTACAGTGGATGGTCAGGTTAAGCTGCTGATTTTTTTTCTTACCGTGATTGCTTAGCAGGAGAGTTTGAGATCTCTCCCTCTCTTGTGTTGTCTATGTCCTCCAATTATTGCACTGTCACTATGTGTGTACCAGGGAGTCATTTACAATTTCTGTAGACTTTCCCATGGAGAATGCTTCGGAAAATAAATACAGGTATCCCATGCATAGTGGCTTGTATCATTTGATCAAATTCAGATCAGGAGCATATTAGGGATTTTTATTCATGATATGCAAGTGTGTGTAGAGATATTTTGGAGATTGATACATTGGCTGCTGCCGCTCCTTTGGGTGGTGAGCTACTTTATGATACAGTAGACAGATGAAGCCCCCTGGGATCAGATGGACAGTGCAACAGAGCAGAGTGTCCATACCTTGAAAGACTGCGGAGGAGGAAGTGGGGGGGGGGGGGGGGGGGGGGGGGGGGGGGGGGGGGTGATCAGAGCTTTTAGAAGATGTTTAAGATGCTCTAAGGGGGGAAACAGGTAGACTTTTAATCAGGTACTATTAGTGTGTCACCTCTATGTTGGCCACTGAGGAAGGAAACGGAAAACAGGTGTGAAATGTCTCGGCTTCGGTGAAATCACTTCTCGGCTCATTCATCCATCTGCCTTTTTTGTGCGTCCCACTCAGTCCACTACAGGTAAGTCATAATTTCTTTCAAAGTTACACACGCACCCCCTGGACCATCTCCACCTTTGATTGAACTTTTCTAGCTCCTATTTTGAATTTTTTTTTGTTGCTTGCAGGTTACTGGTTCAGAAACTAGAGCAGCCATCCATCTTGGTGACGACCACAACCCCAGGAAGCTTGTGATCAAACCTGTGTGGGTTTTGGGTAAGCCTGCAGGTTAACTATTACAGTACCAGACATATATTAATTAACTTTTTCTCTCCTGTAAAGTTTGTACTTAGATAAATGGTTTGGGTGAGAATGAATTATCTGCGTGTGGGTTCCTGGGTCCTATTTTAGGGAAAACAAGAAAAGACCTACTGCCTTCCCTTACAAGCATGTTGTGGGAGTCGACTAATTGGAGGCTTCCTTTGGAGTCAGAGTGCATCTGCCCCAGCGGCAAGGAACAACCGGCTGCACACAAATAAGCCAGCAAAATGGATGTACATGCAAAACTCAGTCCCTGGCACAAAGGTGAAGTCCAAATGGATGAATGACCAGGACTGTCCACCAAAGCTTTCGGTGAACAAAGTAAAAAGGAGGAGAGGGGATTGATTGATTTGATTCAAGAACCGACATCACAGCACGCAGGGCATTCCCATTAGCGCTCCATCCCCATCTTCAGCAGCCAGCGAAGAGTTCCGATACTAATGGTGCCAGTAGCATTCTGATTAAATGTCTATCTTGCCTTTCCTCTGAGCCTCGAGCATCTGCCAGAACCTCTCGTCACCCCCAACTGCATCAATCTTACCACACTGTGGTTATCAATCTGCTCCTCCGAACTGTACAGGCTCTCCCACAAGGCACTAACTACGTCTGCCATATCATGCATCAGTATTCCACCAAGCTGTGCAGAGCCAGCCAGTCTGTCCGCCTGTTCATTTCCCAACTCACTGGCATACCCCGGTGAAAAAATCCAGACAATACTCCTCACCTGTGTCTTCCACAGCGAGGCATGCTTGTCCTGATCTTCCTCAGCATGCTTTCTGAGTGGAGAGTGGATTAAAAATGGTTATTAATGCAGCAAGTTTTTCTTGTGCTATGATGTAAAAGGGTCATAAGAAAGAAGGTATACAGGCAGTGTGTTTTGAACTTTAGTCCTTCTCCAACTCTTTCTTCTTAGCTCTTATTGGCTGTAAACTCTGGAAAACTCATGGAAACATCTGGCTGTTCTTCCACTTTTGGACTTTGATCTTATTCCAGAATTTAGGTTTTGCATACACATCCGTTTTACGGATCTAGTTTATATGTAAGCAGACTGTTAGTTTCTTTCTTCTCTCAGACAGATGCACTTTGACCTGACAGAAAACACTCCTAATCAGTTGCTTCTTACAAGATTTGTGTTCAAGGACAGTGGGTCTGTTCTTTCTCTCTCAAAAACGGTGATGCGAAACCATACAGGGATATTAATCCTCTAAAGTAGTGGACTTCTTCCCTGTCGTCTTCATCTTTTGTGACTCCCGGATGGAGACGTAACGAAGCAGTCCATGACTTGCATCTGTATGTACATGAAAGTTGTCATCATCATCATGTAGCAGGTCATGTACAGCAGTGTGTCTCAACCTTTTGCACCCGGGGTCCACAAGAACAAGAGAAATTATTGCCCAGCCCACCTGAGAGCTTACCAAACACAAAACGAGTCTAAGTTAGCAGTTTGTTTGTTAAATGTGATGTCACAAAACTACAGTTCTCAGCTTATGTACCATCTGCTACTGTTACCTAGCGATTATAAAGTCCTTTATGTGTGGCTGAATTGTTCATTCTGACAGACAAAACGCTGTAGTAATATTACTTTGATTTCTCAATTATTATTTTTTTAAATAATTGACGTGTCTAAGAAAGTCTTTCGACACAGATAGGAAGTTGAAAACACAACCAACAATCTGATAGCCGCTGTAACTCAGACAGTGATTGCATTTTACTGACATCTGGACCCAAGACTGGCATCAGAAGCCAACTCAGTCAGATTTTGTTCCCCCCATGATCTGTCATGTTTTCAGCGAATGTCTTTAAATGCTGACTTATGTTGAGCATCCTTAAGGTGTTAATCTTATTGACTGTAATTCTGAAAGAGGAACACCACCTACCTTGCTACCTGATCAGACAGAAATTGTTGATGGCCCACCTAGTATTTTCCGCTGCCCACCAGTGGGCCTCAGCCAATGGGTTGTAAAATACTGCTTTACAGAACTTCGCTCCCATTACAGTCTGCCTGAAGGAAACTCGCTGTTTCACCAGCTCTCCCGCCTCGTGCACTTTTCTCCCCCAAGTTTTCTCTTATGTTGTGTGTTCATTTTTATGCTGATATGGGCAAAATATTTCGATTTCCAAAACAAGGCGCTGTTTAGGAGCAAGTTTTCTTTGATATTCAAATCTATTAGGTCATTGTATGGGTTCTGAGGCCCCATTGGAAACACAAGAATAGACCCACTGCCTCTCCAACACGCATATTGTAAGAGTCGACTAATTGGGGGTTTCCTTTGAAGTCTGAACGCATCTGCCTGAGAGGCAAAGAACCAGGTCCATGGGATTCTGGTAAACGTTTTGTAACATTTCAACTATAAAACCTCTATTTTCTTCCTTAAATGCAAAAAAAAAAGGATGTATTTAGTAAATAAATCGACATGAACTGTTGCGGTCTTCTGACTAGTCATTTATTTTAGTTTTACTTATACTTTTTTTCAGACTGTATTATGAAGCTGGAGACTCTCCCGACTGATGATTACATTGTGTTCCCCAAGGCACTAACTTCACACAGAGAGAGTAGTCCAGAGTTCTGAAAGATACTGCCAACTGATGATAACATTGTGTTCCAAGAAACATTAGCTTTACACAGATAAAGCAGTCCAGAGTTTTCAAAGATGCTGCCAACCGATGATTGCATTGTGTTCCCCGAGACATTAGTTTTACACAGATAAAGCAGTCCAGAGTTTTCAAAGATACTGCCAACCGATGATTGCATTGTGTTCCCCGAGACATTAGCTTTACACAGATAAAGCAGTCCAGAGTTTTCAAAGATACTGCCAACCGATGATTGCATTGTGTTCCCCGAGACATTAGGTTCATACAGATAAAGCAGTCCAGAGTTTTCAAAGATGCCAACCGATGATTGCATTGTGTTCCCCGAGACATTAGCTTTACACAGATAAAGCAGCCCAGAGTTTTCAAAGATACTGCCAACCGATGATTGCATTGTGTTTCCTGAGACATAAGTTTATACAGATAAAGCAGTCTGAAGTTCTGAAGGATACTGCAGACTCTGCTATAATAACACAGTTCTTCTATTCAGCGGTAGCATCTATAAATATCTATAAATCTAATGTTGCAAGATGTATTGTAGCCATCAGCCACTGTACGGAAAAGGGCAGGGCCATATGGGATTAAATCTGTTAGAATGACGTGGAGCCTTTCGACTGTGAGCACGATTTAAACTTGTGCAGTATCTTTGTACTGTCTGTATGAGCCACATAATATGGTGGGGGGAAAATAATAGACCCACTGCCTCCCTAACAAGCTTTGTCCTGAAATTTGAATGATTAGGGTATTAACTTCAAAGCCGGAGGGCATCTACCTGAGAGGCAAGGCCAGATCTGTAAAACGGATGTGCACAGAAAACTGTAATTCTAGAACAAGACTAAATTCCAGAAGTAGATGAAAAACAGATCTCTCTGTTGGAGTTTATGGCCAGTGAACATGAAGAAAAAGACAGAAGTATCATAGTACTGTATCTGTACTAAGCTAAGCTTGTAGATTCAAGGAATTACTGTTGTCTAATAAGACCTGTGATATCTTTTTTTTGCCTCATATCTTTACTGTCGCTCTGTAAGTGCTATGCATTTGATTAATTTATTATTCAGTTTCTTTCTTCTCGAGTGGCTCCCTTCTGCCTTAGAGTATCTAGAAATATAAAAACTATTGTTTATCAAAAATAAACATATATTAGTTTCCAATGAATCCTAAATGTGACAGGACAGAGCACTACAGAAATCACTGTCACTTGGACACAACAGAGGCAGAACTATAAACCAACCATACAAGTGATGAATAGATGGAATATCTGACCAGCATCTACCTAGCACATATCAAGGCCTGCACCAAATGCTTTTTTAAAACCTGACTCCGAAAGACATGACTTAAGAAGTAGTAGAAGTTCACAAATAAATTGCACAAATGTTCAAGAAATAATAATCATTAGCTTGGTGTGGGTTCCAGGCTTCATTTTGAGAGAGGGAAAAAGATAAAGATCCACTGCCTTTTAACAAGCATGTCATAAAATGTAATTAATTAGTTAAAGGTTTGCTGAAACTAATTGTGTTTGGCTGAAAGGCGTAGATATCACAGCCTAACTGTAAACCACATCTCGCCGTGCCAGCTGCTTTTTTAAGGATGAACACCAGTTGCTATAGCTCGTCCGCTGCTGGGCAGGAGTGATGATATCTCAATGCCATGCGCAGCACTTTCCATGAAGATGGCTAAGGGCTTGTCTCTGTATCTCAGGCATCCTGTCAATTGTGGTAGAGTGATCTTAACATCTGTAAACTGGATGTGCACACAGAACTGAAGTTATGGAACAAAACTGCAAGTCCAGAAGTGGACATACAACCAGAACTTTTTGCCAGAGTTCACAGCTGGTGAACGCAATGAAGAAGAAGGAGAAACTGTTGACAATCTTTAAAGGTAAACAAACAAAAATATGTATATTGGGGATGGTAAAATTAATAAACACTGAAGAGGATCAATGTAACAGTACTTAAAAAGATTTTATGAACAAACAAAAATATGATCAAAAAACAGTAAATAATGTTTTTATATTATAGCTTTTATATTTTTGTAAGTGTATTTTCTTGAAGTGCATGTTTTGTACTTTATATTAGGGCATTTGCATAAATTTTGCTGGCTTTTCAAACCTCCTCCTGAGTTGAGTTAAGAATTGACATCACAGCACTCAGGGATTTCCCATATGTACTCCTTCCTTATCTTCAGCAGCCAGCGCATAATTCCAATACTGATGGTACCGGTCACAATCTGGTTGTCCTCCTCCTGAATAGCTATTTTGCTGCTTGCATTCAGGGCCGTATTTAGTCATGTGAAACATGTGCAGCTGCAGAAGGTAGCAACATTTTGGGGACTAAAATCTGAGGACGTAAAATATAACTATTATTATCAAAATTTAAAAAAATGTGTATTGTTTTTAACATTATGAAAATCGTATTAGATAACAATCTTGGCTTTAAAATGGTATGAAAATATACATGCAGAAATTTAGCAGCTGGAAGAGAGGGCGCACAATAAATGACTGAACAGGGGTGACACATCCTAAATACTGGCCTGCTTTCATTTATAATAATCCTGCCAAGAAAACTTTGTTTTTCTGTAAAAACAACTCAAGGAATCTTAGTCCAGTTGATTGCTATGTTTTTTATATGTTTATATTTCAGTTTGTTATTTTTTGTTAAATTGATCACACTATGACAAATATGAATTTTTTCCCCTTTTATATTGGCAATAACAATTGTAGGTATGCCTGTTTTTTGCATAATTGTGGTTGTACAGGTGGACAATGAGAAAAATGGAGGCTGTGGGAAGGACTGAAATGAAAATTGTGTTAGGGAAGGGGTGATGTATTTCAGCCACATTAAAAGATATTATACTCTGATAAAAATCATCCTGAAGGGAAAAAATTGAAGGCAAGTAAGCAAAAGGTAGATGCTCATACAAGTGGGAGGAAACTGTCAAGAGATGAACAAACAGCAGTCTGAGACCAGGATAAGAGACAGTGTTTTAGAGATATATTGCAGCCAACATTCATCAAAAGAAAATTCACACAGATCTGGTTTCATCAGAACAGGACAACTCATTTATTCTTTGGAAAGATCAGTGGAAAAGGGGAAAACTGAAATGTGTTGTGGGGACAGTAAAGTTAGAAGGAAAGAGAACTGGGGGGGGGGGGGGGGGGGGGGCAACAAGAAGATTTTTGTGTGGAAAATGGCAGGGAAGAACATCTGTATGACAAATAAAAAATACACACAAATTGACAACTCTATAGAGTTAATAAAAGTAGCAGTAGTCGCTGTGGCCTAACGGCTAGTGTGTAGATCAGAAGGTCATGGGTTCGCTACCTGGCAGAGCCGGACTTTTTTCAAAAATGACCTTGACTCCCATGTCGACCCAGCCTTGAGTGGGTACCGGTTGCAGTCCCAGGAAGTAAAGGCGGCTAGCGTGATGCTGACCACATCAACCATATTGTGCCGATTGGTTTTTAAAAATATAGGTCTAGCCCTATATGCCCTTTTCACCTAAAGGCGTGGAAAAGGAACCTTTACTTACACAAAAACAGGTGGTCTGGCTGGCTGGTAATGATTACAGAAAGGTTAAATGTTGACTCGACCTTTTAAGAAATGCCAATACATATTGATTTACGGAGACTGTCACAACTGGGGGTAACTAGGTTTAGGCTTGTCGGAGTGAAAAGGTTAACTGTCCTCTGGTGCTGAAAAAGTTACCAAAAAAAAACTGACAAGTAATAAATTTTTTTGTCGACATTGTACATCTTTTGACTCTATGCATTACTCACAAATTGTGATTATCTGTGTGTGCCTTATTAATGATCTGCGTTTGACATTGTAAATACTGTTATTGAAATTGTAAATATTGTTTGTGAAACATCTACGCGGGTGCTGTAATTGCAAACCCACAAGCATAGCTAGAACGAGTGCCCCAGTTATAACTTCTTTGGAAGTTGAATGGAATATCTGGTATTTGCCCTGTTTTGTCAACCAGATCATTATGCCATAACATTGCGTGTCGTTGGGTCACCAGTTGCTGTTGACTTTCTGATCAGCTCCCCTCTACTTTTGATCATCAGATGCAATGCATGGTTGCCTGTCCAGTCAGTCAAATTCTGCATCCGGGTCTTTCTTGGTCTGCCCTTTCTCCTCTTCCCTTCTACTGCACCTTGAAGTATTGTTTGTGAGAGGCCATTAGATCTTTTCACATGTCCGTACTATTGCATTTTCCGTGTTTTCACTTTAGTTAAAAAAGGTTTGTACTAATCAGTGTCCTGGGTAATTATCCAGTGAATCTTAGCATTTGTGTTCCAGATTAAGATTTTCTTATGTGAGGGTGGTCATTGATCTTTTTACCTGTAGTCATGATTCGTGAACTGTCTGTCATTACTGCCACAGGGGACCTCCCGTGCCCTGACATCCGACCATAGAACATCGTATCCAGTATCCCTGCCGTTCATCTGTTTTATGTTACATCTGTTCACCTGGTCTTGTGTTTTGTTGTTTAATTTAATATTATTATCTTAATGTTTGTTTACTTGAGCATATTCGCATAAAGTCAAGCATAGAACAAGATTTAAATCCGGGGGGGGGGGGGGGGGGGGGGGGACAGAACACTTTGTGGAATCATGTGATGTCAGTTCTTGATTTATTTATTTATTCGTGATCAAAGTTGCGAAGATGTTTACAGGCTGTCCTACCTTTTCATGTTTAAAAAGAAGTTTGTGCCTTTTTTTTGTCAGTGCCACTCTCAATGTTGTTACATAGTTGGGGTCCATATGCATAAACATCAGTGTCTTATGGCTTTAGCAGTTGTGAACCCATGTTCAAAATCCTTACATAAGGCATAAGGTGCAAAGATAGCTACTGCAGTTGGTTTGGTAGCAGATCGCTTTGCATCGATTTTGCCAGTGGTGTGAGTGCTGCCCCATTCAGAAAGCAAAGGCAAACTGCTGGGAGTAAAATTGCCCAGAATCCCAGTGTGGGTTCCAGGA